AACCAACAGGTTTTGGCCCATGAAAGTTATTTCTCTTCTGATTTGGGTATCATCACCATTTACCTGCATTCTCAGAATAAAATTCTGCTCTTTTCAGTTCTTACCACAGCAATTTAGGACAGACTGGCCCTGCAACAGGGAATTGTACACACTATTAATTATGTACACACTGTTAGTTATGTTCACACTATTAATTATGCCTTCATCAGAAGATAATTCTATTCCTCTAAGATAATTCTTCTCTTCTTGCTCTGTAGGAGCAGGAGTAAGGCAAACCAGAAACTCACATTTCTCAGTGATGGGAGCAAGAGGACACATTGTTTGTCTTCTCCAAATCAGCTGGGATTCCACAATTGGAGTCATTATGGGATTATTCTTGGGTTTGTCAGCTCTTTGTGGCAGCAGGCTGAGAAGCAGGGAAGGCTAAACTACAGTTAAAAATACAGTGATAGTGTTAAATGATGTGAAAAAATAACTGTGGCTAAGGGTTTGATGCTAATATATAATTTTTTAGAGGTGTTGTAATAGAGCTGCTGTCTCATAGTGCTGTGATGAACAAATGTGCACAAAACTTCCATGACTCAATGGATCATCCTCATCTTTTGGCACAGCTTTGGAAGACATCCTTGGATTTCTGTCTGGGGATTCATAAAACCTCAAAGCACCCAAAAGAAGCAGCTGAGTAGTATGGGAGCATCTGATATATCCTCAGTGGAAATGCCAATTACTTACTGAGGATCGGGCCCCCAACTTCTTTTGTATCTTACAACTCCTTGTGTTCATTTGGATCTTCCAGAAATTAAAATAAATTAATTTCTTAGTATTTCATATCAAATCCAGATTCTCCCTCAGTATACTTGCCCAGGCTCAGATTTTCCTTTGGGGTAGATGCAAACACATAAGAATTACTTTCTTATCAAATTTGTTTTGAATCAAATCTATTTTAGAATGATGTAAGTCCTGAAAAACGCTGCAGGACTGTCCAAGTCTGTTAGCACTTTTAAGTAAACAAACAAAACCTGCTTTAATTTAGCCCAATTTCCAGGCCACCATGGTCAGAACCCAACTAAAAGCTCTTTGGGCACTAAAAAACAAAATCTAAATATGAAACAGAAGCTCCACAAGGAGGAGGGCTCTGTGGGAACCCTCCTGCCTTTGGTCTGACAATCCAAAAAGTGTGTTCTGGTTTCCCCCAGCATCCGGTGCACTCCAGCAAAGTTTCTAAGTTTAAGCTTCACTCAAAGCTTCAGTGTTCCTGAAATGGCACAGCTCAGCTTGGCTGGCAGAGCTGCAGCTCATGGTAAAGGAAGCCACCACCACATGAACGTTTTCCCTAAATGCTGCTCTATATATTCTCAATGCTCAGCTCAGGAGTTGCTAAAATAAGCTCCTGAAATAACAACTTCAAACACTTCCCCAAAGCTGCAGCCTCTCAGAGGGGCTGGGTTTTCCTACCTCAGGGTGCCTTAAACAAAGGATGCTCCATGCCATGACAGGAGAGGAAGGCTGAGCCCAGCTGGAGGACTAACATAAGTCAATTAGGATCCCTTGGCTCTTAATTAGAGGATTTGTTATTTATCCCAGGCTGCCTCCCAGTACAAACTGGTGGCTGACACTTTCTGGGATAAACAGGCACTCAAAAATGTGGGGGCTGAAATGTGAAGAGTGTTTCTTTCTCCTTTAATCTGAGCAAACAGCATTTAACTTTCATGAGAATGAAATTAAATTACTCTTTTAAGCCTGAGTGAAAACCCCTTCTGTTACATACAGCAAAGTCTGCCTGTGACCACTGATTCTATCTACTGGAAAACCTGTAAAATAATAAAGAATCAGAGAACCATTTAGGCTGGAAAAGAGCATTGAGGTCATCAAGCCCAACTGTTAAACCAGCACTGCCAAAGCCACCACAATATAAGCCAAGAAATTAGCAGCAAATGGTATTTATAGGAAATCTGCACATTAAAATCACATGTAATAAAATTGCTATGCAACACCAGTGATTTAGAGATAATGTCTCCCGTGGAAGCCTAACAATTATGGAAAATGAAATAAGCATGAAAACTATAATTGGACAAGAAGCACTCATACATTCACAGAACAGAGAACTCAAAAATCTTATTAATCCAGGGAAATGATATGTGTGTGTATAACTTTAAAAGGAGCCCAAAAACACCAGGGAGCCCAAATCTCACTTCAAACACATATCCAAATGTTTGCATCTGCAATTCCTCCTCCAGGAAGCTGAGCACCACCACCAACTCTCTGAAATTCAGACTTCTTCAAATGTATTCTGCTTTGCACGGATTTCTGTCACCACTCCTTGCTTCCCCATTATCACCTGCACCACAGAGAGCACGAGAATTCACATGATATCCCACAGGAAATGCAAAAGATCTCTGCAAAGCTGCACAGTGACTCTGTCTGCTCTGTAAGGAAGGAGGGAAGAACTGAAATGAGCAACAACACTCCCCAAAAATGCCCCAAAGCAGCCTGAAGGTGCAGCAGCTGCTGAAATCATGCATGGGCTCCATCAGGAACCTCTTGTGGCTGTATCAGTCCCCATAACACATCTGGAGCAGTGGTTTTGGTAAATATCATTGTTCAGTCCAGAGGAATCCATGGAGCTGCTGCAGGGCTGGAGCCCCTCTGGAGCCAGGCTGGGAGAGCTGGGGGTGCTCACCTGGACAGGAGAAGGATCCAGGGAGAGCTCAGAGCCCCTGGCAGGGCCTGAAGGGGCTCCAGGAGAGCTGGGGAGGGACTGGGGACAAGGCAGGGAGGGACAGCACACAGGGAATGGTTTCTGCTGTCAGAGGGCAGGGATGGATGGGATATTGGGAAGGAATTCCTGGCGGGCAGGGTGGGCAGGCCCTGGCAGTGGTGACTCTGCAGTGTCTGTGCTGCCCTTGAGTGCCACATTTGCTGTAGCAGAGCATCTCTGCCCACTGCTCCTGGGGTTCTCCCTGCTCCAGCACAGACCTCCTCCCTGTCACAGGGTTTGGGGCAGGCAGAGGGACTCTGGCACATCACCTGGGACAGCCAGAGGAACTTTGGCACATCCCCTGGAACAGGTGAATCCACCCAGGGCAGCAGCACCACCTCCCACAGCTCCACCTGAACTGAGTTTCTTGTTACAAAGGAGCACAGCACTGAAAAGTGTCCTGTCTGCTGTAGCTGTATAAGGACAAAAAAATGTCATTTTAAATTATTATATCTCAGGAAATTTTAATTATTACCCTCAAGATTTTTTAACAACATATATAACTTATTTACCTACGAATTCCAGCCCGTGTTGGGTACTTTCACTCACGAACATATTAGTCATCCCTTAATTATTGCTATCCAGCCTTATTAATATGTATAATACGGATAAAGAGCTCCCTGGCAGGGATGCATTTTAATGAAGGCACTGAAAGGCAATACACTAATTTCTAGAAGGTTGTGCCATGGTTGACAATAGCGAACCGAAGCAGCCCAGAGATGGGATGGGGTGTGGAAGGAGAAAAATCAAATACGTTTTAATATTCTAATGATAAACTTAATTTGAGAGAGGACACCTGGGGCACAGGACATGCAAGGAAGGGCACAGGACACTCAGGGCATGAGACAACAGGGACAAAGGATGCACATGGCAGAGGACACTCGGGGCACAGGACAGAGAGGGCACAGGACACCGGGGACAGAGGACACACATGGCACGGGACAGAGGACACTGAGGACACAGGATACCGAAGGCACAGGACACCGGGGGCGGGCCGCCCTGAGGAGCCGCCCCGAGAGGCGGGCGCGGACCGGACGGGGTAAGGAAGGGGCGGTGGCGGCAGGGTCGGGCCGGGCCGCGTTGGGCACGGGGCGGGCGGGCAGCGGGGCCAGCGGGGGCCGGGGAGATCGGGCGGAGAGGCCGCGGCCCCGCACTCCCAAACCGGCCTGGGCCGCCCCGGTCCCGGCCCCGCCGCGCTCCGCAGGCCCGGCTGGGCCTGGCCCGGTGCAGGGCTGTCCCCTCGCGGCCGCTGTAATACGGCAAGGACCATGGGTGTCCTCTCACGGGAACAGGGGGTGTCCCCCGCGGGACAAGGGGTGTCCCCTGCGGGACAGGGGGTGTCCCCTCACGGCCCTCACGGGAACAGGGGGTGTCCCCTCACGGGATCAGGGAGTGTCTCCCGAGGGACAGAGGGTGTCCCCTCACGGGAATATGGGTTGTCCCCTCATGGCCCTCACGGGAACGTGGAATGTCCCCTCAGCCTCTGCGGGAACAGGAGGTGTCCCCCGCGGGACAGAGCGTGTTCCCTCATGGCCCTCACAGGACCGGGGGTGTCCCCTCACGGGAACAGAACATATCCCCTCATGGCGCTCATGGGACAGGGGATGTCCCCTCACGTCCCCCGCGGGAACAGAGCGTGTCCCCTCACGACCGACTGGAGTCAAAGTGGCTTCTCACTATCCCGTATCAAAGCGGGAACCAGCGGTGTCCCCTCACAGCCTCTGCGGGAACATAGGGTGTCCCCCGTGGGACAGAGGGTGTCCCCTCACTGCCCTCACGGGACCGGGGGTGTCCCTTCACAACCGACCGGAGTCAAAGTGGCTCCTCACAGAATGGACTCAG